AGTGGCTCAGTGGTTGAGCATCGACCTGTGCACCAAGAGGTCACTAGTTCGATTCCCAGTCAGGGCACATGCCCAGGTTGTGGGCCTGATCCCCAGTGAGGGGCATGCAGGAGGCAGCCAACTGATGCTCTCTTTCATGGATGTTTCTATCTCTCTCTCTCTCTTCCTCTCTCTCTAAAATCAATAAAGAAAAAAACATTTTATAAATAAATAAATAAATAAATAGCCCTGGCCAGTTTGGCTCAGCGGTTAGAGCGTCAGCCTGTGGTCCAGAGAGACCTGGGTTTGGTTCCCGCTAGGGGCACGTACCTTGGTTGTAGTTTGTCCCTGGCCCTGGTTGGGTCACGCAGGTGGCAACCACTTGATGTGTCCCTTTCATGTCGATGTTTCTCTCTCTCTCTCTCTCCCTCCCACTCTGAACAAAAAATGGAAAAATGTCCTCGGGTGAGGATAAAAATAAATAAAATACAATAAAATAAACAATACAAAACAAAAAAAGACATGAACTACAAAAATGAATTATTATACTAGCAATAACATGTATGAATCTCAGAATTAATTATGCTGTGAAAAAAGCCCAAAAAGAGTACATCTTTGATTCCATTTATATAAAATTCTAGAAAACACAAACAAATCTATAGTATCAGAAAGCAGATCAGTGGTTGGGATGCACCAGAGAGGAATTATAGTGGGGCAAAGTAAATACTTAAGGACTTAGGGGATGATGCATATGTTCACTGGCTGGATTGTGGTGATGGTTTCACAGATTTATAGTTATGTCAAAACATAACGAACTGTACACTTTATTTTTGTTGTTGTTTTGCGATTTTTATTAATTTATTTTTGTTACAGATGTTTCTTTCTCCCCCATTGACACCCTTCTCCTGATCCTGCCTCCCCACCCCAGCATTGTTGTCTATGTCCATTGGTTGCACATACATGCATATAAGTTCTGTGCTTTATCTTTTCCCTCCCTGCTCCCCCGCCCCCCTCTTCTGAGGTTTGTCAGTCTGTACCCTACCTCTGTCTTTGGGTCTATTTTGTTCTTCAGCTTGTTTTGTTCATTATATTCCACAAATAAGTGAGATCATATAATACTTGTCTTTCTCTGATTGGCTTATTTCACTTAGGTTAATATTCTCCAGGACCCTCCATGTCATCTCAAAGGATAAGAGATCTTTCTTTCTTACAGCTGCATAATATTCCATGGTGTATATGTACCACAGCCCTTTTTTAAAAATTATTATTTTTAATCCTCACCTGAGGACATTTTTCCATTTTTTTGTTCAGATAGAGTGAGAAGGAGAAAGAGGGAGAGAGAGAGAGAAACATCGATGTGAAAGGGACACATCGAGTGGCCGCCACCCGCAAGACCCAACCAGGGCCGGGGACAAACCGCGCTCTTATCGGGAACCGAACCAGGGTCTCTCGGGACCACAGGCCAATGCTCTAACCAATGAGCAAAATTGGGCAGGGCTACCACAGCTCTTTTATCCACTTATCTGTTGATGGACACTTGGGCTGTTTCCAGATCTTAGCTATTGTAAATAGTGCTGCTATGAACATATGGGTACATACATTCTTTCTGATTGGTGTTTCAGGCTTCTTAGGACATATTCCTAGAAGAGGGATGACTGGGTCAAATGGCAGTTCAATTTTTAATTTTTTGAGGAAACATCATATTGTTTTTCATAGTGGCAGCACCAGTCTGCATTCCTACCAGCAGTGTACTAGAGTCCCCTTTTCTTCACACCCTCGCCAGCACTTACTATTTGATGATGTGTTGATGGCTGAACTGTACACTTTAGATATTGTATGCTAAACTATCTCAATAAAGCTGATTTTTAAAAAAATCAGAACAAAGCCCTGGCCGGTTTGGCTCAGCAGTAGAGCATGGGCCCTCGGACCAATGAATCATGGGTTTGATTCGGGTCAAGGGCACATACCTTGGTTGTGGTTCGTCCCATACCCTGGTTGGGTCATGTGTCAGGCAAGCAGTCGATGTGGCTCTATCACGTCAAGGTTTTTGTCTGTCTCCCTCTCTCCTCTCCCTCTCTCCCACTCTATCTGATGATAAATGGACAAATATCCTCGAGTAAAGAATAAAAAAAACAAAAAACAAGAAAAAGAAGGGAGGGGGCAGTAGGAATGGGAAGAAAGAGAATAAATTCTAGGGCCTCTTGCAATCCTTTCTTGTTCAAGGACACCAGATGGTATCTGATTATAAGATCCCTTTTCAGTATTTTTGTTCAGTTTTCACTGCTAGGATGGTCTATCTGCTCAACTTTCTAGTCTTATGGAGAACTGGCCTATAAAATCTAGCACTTCAGCTGGACCAGTTTCCTCTTGGACCCAGAATGCAGCTTGAATTCCTTGTCTCTACCTCCACTTGCTGGAATGTTTCCTCCATTCTAAATGATCCAGATGTTCTCTCCTTTCAGGCCCAGGTAAGATAAGATTTCTTTCATAATCTTTCCCATCCATTCCTGAAGAAATAATTCTGTACTTTCGAGTTTCTCTAGTATTTGTAATCTAAACTGCTCTTTTGACACCTTTTTGCTGCTTTATTTTATTTGCTGTTCATGTGCATGTCTTATCTTTTCAACTACGTATATTCTGAACTTCTTCAGGTTTGGAACTGGGTCATATATTATCTTTGTGTCCCTCCCAAGGCACTTAGTAAATGCTTAATACGTGTCAATTTTAAATCATCTCACTTTGATAGTCTTTCCAAAGTACTTTCTGAGCCATTATCTCATTTGATCATTACATCAACACTATAAGATTGGAGGAGCTAAAAAAAAAAAAAAGTTATTTCTTCCTTTTGACAGATAAGGAAACTGAAGCCCAAGGTCACTCAGTTTGTCAGAGACAGAGATGGAACAGATAATTGCATATGAAGGTTTGATCCTATTCAAGGTTTCCCATGGCTCTCCGTTCTCCCCTCCCACCTGAAGACAGGCCATTGCACCCTTCACCATCTCATTTTCCAAATACTTCAGAGCTGCTTAGCCAAAGCTCTGTAGAGCCATATTAGAAAACTTGACAAATAGGAGACATGACATTTCAGTAGATTCCTGATCAGCTCTGAGTCACCAAAACACGCCTACTATTTTTTTCCAAGTGCCATTTGTTTGTGGCATTATGCCTGATATTTAATGATGCTGCACTACAGAACTGAGGAAGCATAAATGATTTTTAAAAGCTTTAGAAAATGACAGCACTTTAATATTAAACATGAAAGGTGGCAGCTAACAAGATGACCAGGTATATAACATTTCCGTACTGGATCACACTATTATTCTTTTTTTTTTTTTTTATCCTCACCCGAGGACATTTTTCCATTTTTGTTCAGCTAGAGTGGAAGGGAGGGAGGGAGGGAGGGAGAGAGAGAGAGAAACATCGACGTGAAGGGACACATCGAGTGGCTGCCACCCGCACGACCCAACCAGGGCTGGGGACAAACTGCAACCGAAGTACGTGCCCTTAGCAGGAACCGAACCCGGGTCTCTGTGGACCGCAGGCTGACGCTCTAACCATTGAGCCAAACCGGCCAGGGCTACACACTATTCTTCTATGTATTGCTAGAATAAGTCTCTAGTTGGTACTAAAAGAAAAGGTTAAACTCTACCACTCAGCACACCTAGCCTGAGATTCCTTCCCTACCACCCAGACTATCAGCTTCTCCTCTGGTGCAAGAGATTTGATAACCTTGGTGCAATTTACTTAGCATCAAATATTATTTTTGAAATAATTCACCTAATGACAGATTTCAGTCAACTTTGAAAAGAAGATGGTGATGGATTTAAGACAGAAAGGTGGAGGGACCCCCTTGAGAGGAACAATAACCTTTGGTAGAAGTCCATAGCCAACATGAGGTCAAGCCCATGGAGGAAGTCAGGAGAATTGTCCCCCTCCTCCCTTCATTGTCGGGTCTACCGTCAGCCTCCTGCTGGGATGTCCCCTTTGGCTGGAAACCAGTCAGGGAATATGGGATCCCTGAGGTCCTTACAGGTAGTCCTAGCCGGCTACATAGGACGTTGAAGAGCAGAATATGGATCTGGGGGCAAGTGACCTAGTCTGGCCAATGAAACACATGACAAAGTTTGGGGGGTGCTTCTGGGCAAAAACTTCTTCCTCTACTGTTATAGAAGGCTTTTCCCTTTCCTTCCTGCTTGGGATGGGTTGAGAAGCTCCAGACTTCTTGTTGGGTAAGCAATAAATGCCCCTATGTTGGGGGGGGAGGTGGGGAGAGGGGGGCAAGGATGAAAGATGGTGAGAGAGCGGCTCTGGGGCTGTTGGTTGGGTGTCATCCTGTGCACCGAGAGGTTGCGGGTTGAATTCTCGGTCAGGGCACATGCCCAGGGTTGCTAGTTCGATCCCTGGGTGGTAACCTATCTATGTTTCTCTCTCACATTGCTGTTTCTTTCTCCCGCTCCCTCTAAAATCAATTTTAACAAACCAAGCGAGGGGACAGGGCTGGCGGCCACTCCTGAGTGAGGAGACTCTCTGGCGGGGGAGGAGGGAGGGTCAGGCCTGGGAAGGTCCAGGTTTCGACTCTGCCAGCGTGCCCCCGAACAAGGCACTTAACCTCTCTGCCCCTTAGTTTTCCTTTCAGTAAAATGGGTATGATAGGACTCCCTCGTAGGACGCTGTACGAACTAAATGAGGCAAAGCAAGGCAAGTAAAACGCTCGGCACAGTGACTCATCGAAGGCCCTCGATAAAAGCTGGCAGTCATTACCATTTTAGCCACGTTTGCCCTCAACTTGGGGTAGGTAGCCCGGAAAAGCGGCTGCCTTTCCACCACGGACTCCAAAGCCGGGCTCTGCGGCCGTTGGCGGGTCTGGAGGGGCGCCGGAAGAGGGGCGGGGCCTGCACTTCCCGCCTAGAGCTTTGCCCCGCCCCCTCCTCGCCCTCGCGGTGCCTCGAGCCCCGTCGGCTCTCTCCCTGCCGACCTCCCCGCGGTCCCGCGGCGCCTAGGTTCGCCCCGCGCCTGCGTCGGGCCGAGTGAGAAGTTCCGGGGCCCGGACGCGAGCGGGTGCTGGGTGTCCCCGGCTCACTCCGCACAGCCCTGGGAGCTTCAGCCGCCCCTTAGTGTACAGGTTTGCTGGGTGGATGGGCGGCGCTGCAGGGAAGAGAAGCCCTGGGAGGGTCAGTCCGGCCAGTCCTGGGTCGGAGGCCGCCCTCGCCCTTGGGACTCTTTGGCCGCCCAGACGGAAGGGGAGTAGGCGCCGGAGAGCCCGCTCCGCATTTTGATTCATCTCGGGCCTTGTAAGGGTCACATCTTGTGAAAATACCTGTAAAATCAATTTAACGTTCAGTGCAGCGTGTAAAGACAGCTCTAAGAATTTAAAAGACGCCTGAGTCAGAACATTTAAATGCTTGGGTCCCTGTAGCAACGTTTTAACACGTCTGAGTGCAGAGGGTGGAGAATCGAACCTGATTGCTGCCACTGTTCACGCCCTCTAACATTTGAAAAGGGTAAAGAAAAGTACCCTAAAAAAAAACCCCAACTGGGCAATTCCCTTGGGGAGGCAATAATAACTGACTTTTTTAAAATTTAAGGTGGTCCTCATTTTCGTGAGTGAAATTTGTCTGCAAAACTTATTTGCAGCCTTAGGTCAACGATAAACGATTGTGAAAACACTGAGCTTACCTAAGTAGTGGCTTTTACTGACAGTCGATTGTGTTATTAATTCTTAGTGTCTCTCCAAGGCAGGACTCTTTATCTCAGTTTTGCAGGTGGAAAGAAGTTTGGCACAAAAAACAAAAACAAAAAAAACCATCTCCCTTAAATTTACACTGAACAATGGCTGAGATGCAAATTAAGTCCGAGCTTTTCTTTCTGACTCCTCAGTCAGGTCCCTCTCTAGACCATGTTACAAAACAAATGAGTAGTTACTTTGATGTTACTACTCATCAAACGAGGGAGCAAACCAAATGTTTTGTGAACATGAAATGTTAAATCATAGTAGCCTTCTATGTCTGTCCTGCTTTGGAAGGCACAGCTGTCCTTTGGAGTTTGATACCTTACAGGAGAGGATGAAGGAGCAAAATAGAAAATTATGTCAAGGGGAATTTTTTTTGTCTCAAGCCCAAATTGTGCCCATCTCCACTGCCCCTTTGTGTTGATGTCATCCTTTTCAGTGTACTCTATTGTCTGGCCCCAGCTGCATTAACTACACCTTTGCATTACTCTTTTGGCACTGACCTCCCTGTCTGTCTTATGCGGTTTCCTCCAGGTGTTCTTTACTAATGCTGTTAAGTGAAAACCAGTTGTTAAAGTGTGGAATGATTTTGTCACTCCTGAAGGGTGTTTCTGGAGTTGATAAAAAACTACCAACACATATTAGATGAAAGGACAAGTTAAAGAAGTGCAGGACACTATTGTGGAATTTAATAGCTGAGTGGTTGGGAGAAGTAGACTTTGATTTTTTTTTTCCTTTGCCCTGTTCACTCATAACTGGGAAGGAACAGCTCAATTTTAACTTAGAAATAATGGTGGGGAGAGGGGTGGTCATCCTCCTGCCTAAACTAGTGAATTGGAAAGTTTTCTTTCCTAAGGAGTCTTCCTTTTAGACAGCTTATAACAAGTGGAAATATTTATGTGGTTAGAATGCAGAATGTTTTGCTACTGATAAGTCTGTTTGTCTATAAAACTTGTATAGGAGCTTGAGATGCTGGATGTGTGCTATAGTCCCTCCCTATTAAGAGGCATCCCCAAGGTTCCTCCCCAGCTTGTAGACAACAGAAATTTGAACCCAAGAATAGTTTTCTCTGGAGCACCAGCCAGTTTATTTATTTATTTATTTTTCTCTTGCTCGATTCTAAAGATAAGAATATCAGATGGCATCTGGGGATTTCTGCTTACCTGGAGAAGGGATGGAAATACTCCAACAAGGTAAGGATAGCCATTTATAAGAGGCTGGATGACTTATCCAGAGAGGTCTTATCCAGGTTCTTACCTTTTATAATAAAAAAGACTTATAATGTTCACCAGTATGGTTTCTCTTACAGAAGCTTATGTGTCTAGGGAAATTAGGGTACATGAAGATTGTTCAACACTGTCTTCTTGGAAAACAGATTATACTGACTCCTGTTCAGTATCTGTTTGTGCAGTAGACTAAAAACACAAAATGCTCCCATGCTGTGTGAGCAAGCATATCCAGAAGATAAGGGTGGCCAGCAAACTTCTTAAAGGCTTTCTTCCTACCTATGTCTTGAATTTTTTAATATCTTGTCTCCAGAATCTCAGATCTTTTCAGTATCTTGAATTCTTTCCATATCTGAAGTCCTTTCTATATCTTGAATCCTTCAAAGACTTGAATCTTTTATATTTTGACCATTTCCGTATTGATTCTTCTGCCTTGGGGAGAAATAAAAGACATTTCTTCTTCTCTAAAAGGACTTTGAGTATGATGGTCAAAAGAATGAAAATTTGAGTGTGTGGTATGTGGGAGTAAAACAGAAGACCCCAGTAGAAAGCACATCAGAAAAGAGACAGAAAGAAAGTCCCTTTGAACATATGGAATTATGACGGGATCACAGTTTCTTGCATGTTTTCTCATGGATGTGCTGTTCTGCATCCAAATGGGTTATTCAACTCTATTTATAATAGGGAGGATTTGGTAAGTTAAATTTTTTAACTTCCTCTTAAGAAAAGTATGCTTTCTCTCAGTCGCTTATGCAACTAGAGATCATGTCCAAAGTTGGAACTTTACTTTTTTTCCCCTTCCTCAAGAACTCTAGTTATTCTGTGTGAATGAAACATTTTGGGTACTGGGTGATCCCTACTAAAGGGTCCCTTATTATTGATTGCTATTTGTCTCATACTTTCCAACTGCATTTCCATTTTCTAAGATCTTACTTTTATTAGAGACTTATTTCCTAATTCTTTTTTTTTATCCTCACTCGAGGACATTTTTCCATTTTTTGTACAGATAGAGTGGGAGGGAGAGAGAGGAAGAGACAGAGAGAGAGAAACATCGATGTGAAAGGGACACATCGAGTGGCTGCCACCGCACGACCAACCAGGGCCGGGGACAAACTGCAACCGAAGTATGTGCCCTTAGCGGGAACCGAACCCGGGTCTTTCCGGATCGCAGGCCGATGCTCTAACCGCTGAGCCAAACCGGCCAGGGCATTTCCTAATTCTTGATTAATATCCTTGTATGTAATATAAATGCTTGTTATTTTGAGTATTGCCTCTAGTTTATTTGTGGATTTTTAAATTTTATTAGAATTAGAAAACTTCCCTACCAAAACCTAGGGGTTTTTTGGAAGTGAGTATTAAGTTAAGAGTTATGCTCAGGCCCTGGCCAGTTTAGCTCAGAGGTTGAGTGTTGGCCTGCAGACCAGAGAGTCCGGGTTCAGTTCCTGCTAGGAGCATGTACCACAGAAGAAAAAAAAGAGTTATGCTCAGTCCGGCCGGTGTGGCTCAGTGGTTGAGCGTCAACCCATGCACCAAGAGGTCACCAGTTTGATTCCCGGTCAGGACACACGCCCAGGTTGTGGGCCTAATCCCAAGTGAGGGGCATGCAGGAGGCGGCCGGTTGATATTCTCTCTCATCTATGTTTCTGTCTCGCCCTCTCACTTCCTCTCTCTCTAAAATCAATAAAGGAAAAAAAAAAGAGTTATGCTCAATTATATAAATCAATTGAGAGTCCATGCCTTCTTTGCTTTTTGTCCCAATGGGGGACATCCCCTTAAGTGTGCAGCAAACAGCTTCCTCCTTGTAACCTGAGTGAAGAGGACCTGTTACAGAACCCACACTTCAGTAAACTGCTGCTGAGTCTCTCAAAACACATGGACGAAAGTGGCTTGAGCCTTTCCCTGGCAAAGGAGCAGGATCAGGTAAGAGCCCTGGTTGAACGGATGATAGGAGGAAGAAAAAAATCTTCTGATAAAGAGGTTCCTACCTGGGATTTTTTTTTTATTTTCTAGGCATGGAAAGAAGTTCGACTACATAAGACAACATGGCTGAGATCGGAGATTTTACAGAGAGTCATCCAAGAGCTGCTTGTGGACTACTATGTGAAGATACAAGATACAAATTTAACTTCCGAGGACAAAAAGGTGAGGCAGGAGAGATGAGGTAGAGGTTGGTTACCATAGGAATGAGCAGGCTAGCTATGCCTTCATCTGATTATATCATCTAGGAACTTCATATAATGGCTATCAAAAAGAAATGGATTATAGCCCTGTCCAGTTTGCCTCAGAGTTAAGAGCATCGACTCTGGACCAAAGAGTTGTGGGTTCGATTCTGGCTAAGGGCATATACCTTGGTTGCAGTTCATTCCTGGCTCTGGTCTGGGTTGTGCAGGAGGCAGCCAATCGATGTGTCTCTCTCACATTGATGTTTCTCTCTCTCACTCTCTCCCCCCCTCCCTCCCACTCTATCTGAAGATTAATAGAAAAATATCCTCAGGTGAAGATTAAAAAAAGAAAAAAGAGAAATGGATTGTAGTTATGGAGGGAAAAGGTGGGTGTGTTGTCAGGTTTTTGAAAAGAAAGATTAACAAGAGAAGGCACTGAGAGCTGAGAAGTTATCTGAAAGGGGTGACATATTTGAGGACTTTGAAAATGTGTGAAGAACTGGTTCATGAGGATGGAGGAGGTGGAATGAGATTTTATAGTAACTTGTTTTTGTTTTTATTCTCTCAGTTTCATGAAACCCTTGAACAGCGGCTACTTGTGACTCAACTAACACAGCTCTTAGGTCCTAGCCAGGAAAGGGAGATGCCTCCACTGCTAGGACTGGAGAAAGCAGACCTTCTGGAGCTCATGCCACCCTCGGAGGTTGGGAGCAGACAAATATTCTCTTAATTTCTCCTATATATTTGAACTTTTTTTGCTTAAACTTTATTGTTTTTTTTGTTTGTTTGTTTTCCAATCCTCACCCAGGATATTTTTCCATTGATTTGCAGATAGAGTGGGAGGGAGGGAGGAACAGAGACAGAGAGAGAGACATCAATTGGTTGCCTCCCGCATGACCCTGAAAAGGGCCAGGAATAGAACCACAACCAAGGTACATGCCCTTGACTGGAATCAAACCTGAAACTCTCTGGTCTTCGGGCTGACACTCTAACCACTGAGCCAAACTGGCCAGGGCAAACCTTTATTGTTTTTATAAAAACATACACGTTCGCCCTGGCCGGTTTGGCTCAGCAGTTAGATCGTTGGCCTGCGGTCCAGAGAGACCCGCTACAGTCATGTACCTCGGTTATGTTTGTCCCTGGCCCTTGTTGGGTCGTGCGGGAGGCAGCCACTTGATGCGTCCCTTTCACGTCGATGTTTCTCTCTCTCTCTCCCACTCTATGTGAACAAAAAGTGGAAAAATGTTCTCGGGTGAGGATAAAAAAAAATATTAAAAAATATATATACACGTTCGTGATGGTCAAATTTAAATAAATAAGAAAAATGTTACACAGAAGAAAGTAAAAGCTGAAATACTACATCTAGAAATAAATACAACTTGACATAGATAGTGTTATACCCTCTATGCTTGTATAGAGAGTATATGTTTTCACTTAATATATTTAGAACTTATTTTCAAGTCCATAAATAGATGTAAATAAGATGATACCTCCTAAAGCACTCTTAGCACAGTATCTAGGCACATTGTTAGTGCTCAGTATTATTATATCATTGGTTTAAATAACTGAAATATTCCATTGTATGAATGTAGCATAATTTGTTTAACCTTATTAATAGATATTAATTTAAAGTTATTCCCACATTTTTGCTGTTAGAAACCATACTGATATGAACATGCTAGTACATATGTATCTTTGCCTTTGTATGATTATTCCCCAAGTATTAGTGCTAAAAGTGGGATCATTGGGTCAAAAGATACACACATAGAGCATATTGGAACATATTGCCAAACTGTTTTCCAGAAAGGTATTTTTAGTGCCACTAGCTCCCCACATTTTCATCAGTATGGGATCTGGACAGTCATATTATTCTTTGCTAATTTGATAGGCTAAAAATGAATCTCCCTGTTCAGGCATCATAAACAGTACTCTGGTGATTTACCCTGATAATTTCATTTTTATGCATATCCCTATTAAAAACAAAAAAAATTTAAAAAGTGAATCTCCCTGTCTGGCAAGTGTGGCTCAGTGGTTGAGCATCGACCCATGCACCAAGAGTTTGTGGTTCAATTCCCAGTCAGAATACATACCCAGGTTGTGGGCCAAATCCCCAGTGGGGGGCAAATAGGAGGCAGCCAATCGATGTTCTCTCTCATTGATGTTTCTGTCTCTCCCTCTTCCTTCATCTCTCTCAAATCAATAAAGGGGAGAAAAAAATGAATCTCCCTAATGTTTCTCTCTCTCTCTCTTTTTTTTTTAAACATATTTTAAGTTTTTTAGAGAGATAGGAAGGGAGAGGGGGAGAGAGAGAAACATCAATGTGAGAGCGAAACATTGATCTGCCTCCTGCATGCCATGCCCCACACTGGGATTGAGCCCAAAACCCAGGCATGTGCCCTGACCAGGATTCAAACTGGCAACCTCCTGGTACACAGGATAACCCCCAACCACTGAGCCACACCAGCCAGGACTCTCTCTCTTCCTCTCTTTTTTTTAAATAATTCAGATGGACATCTAATACTTCCAACAATAAAGGGCGAGGATATTTTTCCTTTGATTTTTTTGGGGGGGGGATAGAGTGGGAGAGAGTGAGAAACATCTATGTGAGAGAGACACATTGATTGGTTGCCTCAATTGAGGTACATGCCCTTGACCAGGAACTGAACCTGCGACTCTCTGGTCCGAAGGCCAATGCTCTAACCACTGAAACCAGTCAAAGTTTTTTTTAATTGATGTTTAGAGAGAGGAAAGGAAAGAGAGAAACATCAATCAGTCGTGCACTGGCCAGGAATCAAACCCATCACCTTTCGATGTGCAGGAGGACATTCCAACCAACTGAACCACACCAGCCAGGGCTCCCTGATATCTCTTTAATTATCATTGAGATAGTGGTCATCATGTATTCATTGGCTGGATCTTCCTAGTTCTCACAGTCTATTTGTATCTCTCTTTGTTTCTGTGGCTGTAGGATTTTGTGTGGATGAGAGCTCGGCTCCCACTCGAAGTGGAGGAGCAGCTCAAGAAGAAATGTTTCACTCTGCTTTGCTACCATGATCCTAATTCCGGTGAGTGCTAGCTCTCTGTAGCTGGCCCTCAGGACTCCTGGCTTTCTCTTTTGAGAATAATATATTTGAATTTTAGATTTGGGACAGAAGCTGGGAAGCATTGGAGATGTTTGTTTCCTTGCTGGTAGAATAAAAGCAAGGACTTTTGTGAGGACTTTTATTCAGCAGGGTGCTAAACTGGAGTGTCCTCTGGCTACAGGGAGGGATGAATTCATTCTCAGGAGAATCAGAATAGAATAGAGAGGAAAGTTCAGCCTAATAGGTTTTCCCCTTGTCTTTTTTCTATGATTTAAGAATTAAAAGACCAAATCTAGAATTAAAGGTAAGAGTGAAAACAACATAATTATGAGAACTGGGCCATTTTTAACAGAGCATCAAAAGAAAACCTGGAAGAAGACAGAATTTCTAAGGCTAGATGTAGGATAGGAGCACTAAAAAATGGCCTTAAAAGGACCATATTACTGTCTAGTCCTTTGTCTTTTTGTCCAGATTCAGACCATGAAACCCTGAAGGCAGCAAAGGTATGGAAACTGGCAGAGATCCTGGTGAATGAGAAGCAGCAGTGCCAGGATGCCAAGAGCCAGCAGAAGGAGCAGATGGTCCTGCTGGAGAAGAAGAGTGCCACCTACTCCCAGGTTTGTCAGAGCAGTGGGATAGCCTCTGTCACCCGGACCTCCACCCGGACCCCAGGGGCACTTTTGCGGAAGCCAAGGATTTCTGATCTTTTTTTACTATCTCTTCTTTTTTTAATCCTCACCCGAGGACACTTTCACCTCTATCCTCAGATGGAGCTGGAGGGAGAAACATCGATGTGAGAGAGACACATCTCACATTGAGTGGTTGCCACCCACACCCCCCCAGCCGGGGCCAGGGACAAACTGCAAGCAAGGTACATGCCCCCAGCGGGAACTGAACCCGATCTCTCTGGTCTGCGGGCCTACGCTCTAAATGCTCTAATTGCTGAGCCAAACCACCAGGGCTTTACTATCTCTTCTTTACAACTTCTTCCTCCTGGGGGCTCAGGTGCTTCTCCGCTGCCTCACCTTACTACACAGACTTCTTCAGGAGCACCGACTGAAGACTCAGTCTGAGCTAGACCGCATCAGTGCCCAGTACCTGGAGATCAAGTGCAGTGCCATGATCCTTAAGCTGAGGTGAGCTATGACCCCTATGGATCTAAAGGACTCACCACCCCCTGCAACCCTCACCCTTATCTCTCTTTCCTCTCTAACATACCTAATACCTCGTGGGGATCTAGTTAAGTGTCACATAGCGATGTTAGCCTTCAGGCTACCTCAAAGTTTTCAACATTCCTCATTCATTCATTCATTTATTTATTTATTTTCTGATTCTTTTATTTTAAAGCTTTCTGAAATAGGTGCTTGACTATGAGATAAATTACTCAAGAATTCAGAGTGACCTTGTTTTCCTGTCACTGCTTAGCCCACACCTTTGACTATGGGCAGGTACTGTGTCCCATTCCTAACAGGGATCCTCAGCTTCACATTTCTTTTTTGCCTCTATCAGGATGGAAGAGCTAAAAATTTTGTCTGACACTTACACTGCTGAGAAAGTGGAAGTTCACCGTTTCATTAGGTGAGAACTCCTGAGAGCTTGAGACAGCTATTCAGAGCTTCCCACCCTCTCTAGACTCGTTCATTGTAACATGTTCCCATTCTTGTCCACTTTCTGAGGAGCCAGATCCTCATATTGTATCTTCTGTGCCTGGGCTCTTAGGGACCGTTTGGAAGGGGCCATTAGGCTACAAGAACAGGACATGGAGAAGTCCCGACAGGTCCTAAATACCTATGAGGTCCTTGGAGAGGAGTTTGACAGGCTGGTAAAAGAGTACACCCAACTCAAGCAGGCAACTGAGAACAAGCGCTGGGCACTCCAGGAGTTCAACAAGGCCTACCGCTAAATGTTGGCAGGCCAGGAGACATGGTTTGTGCTTTGGTGCTGCCTCCTCTTCCTCCTGCTAAAAGGACCTCCTCCATCTGGGGCCATCTTCACTCAAGGGAGAGTGGGGACACTTGCCTGAAACACTGCAGTCATTTAGACACCCTCCTGGTTTCTCTTCCTTGTTTACAATGATTGAATCTCTTCTGAAAAATGTAGCCAATTTATATGATTTTATGTAGAGCTGTTTTTCAGTGTCTTCCCTGTATGGTATTTGATTATCTCCTGAATAAAGTGATAATACTGATTTTTAGGCTTTTGGTCATTTTCCTTTGGGGAAAGATTGTAAAAGAATATCCAAGGCTGTGTGGGTGGAGGGGAACTGAGTGGATACAAATAGATAGATCTACAATGCTTACACAAAGGTTGGAAGGTAGATGTGTTAGCCTACCCACATGAAGTCTTTGAGGCTTCATTCTTAGAGAGCAAGAGTGGATTAAAACTGGGCTTGCTCTTGAAGAACTATAATCTCCAGGGGAGTGCTAGCCCTTAAGGCAGGTAGGGAAGTATTCTGTAGCTGTGGCTCTCAATGGGGTGTTGTGATAAAGCAGCCTGGCATCCAGCTCTTGTTACAGGAAAGGACACAAGCCACTTGTGCTCCTGGTTCCCTCTGGTGTTATTTGAGGGTTATTTCTTTTTCCAAAAGCAGAGGGTGGGAGGAGATCACTCTGAGGAACCAAATTCCATGGTCTACTTAGCTTAGAACAAGCAGGGCCTGACTAGTATAAAAGTCAGGGACTGAGTGCAGAAGACCATTCAGCCATTTTTTTTTTTTTTAATCTCATCCGAATATATATTTTTTCCATTGATTTAGAGAGAGTGGCCCTGGCCGGTTTGGCTCAGCGGTTAAGAGTGTCGGCCTGAGGACAAGAGAGTCCCTGATTCGGTTCCCACTAAGGGCACATACCTCAGTTGCAGTTTGTCTCAGGCCATAGTTGGGGTTGTGTGGGTGGCAACCACTCGATGTGTCTCTCTCTTCCTCCCTCTCTCCCTCCTGCTATATTTGTTTTGGGTTTTTTTTGGTATGTGCCCCTAGCAGGGACCGAACCCAGGACTCTCTGGTCCGCAGGCTGATGCTCCAACTGCTGAGCCAAACTGGCCAGGGCTCTCCTGCTCTATTTGAAGATAAATGCACAAAATGTCCTTGGGTGAGAATAAAAAAAAATTAGAGTGGAAAGGAGGGGAGGGGAGGAGGGGGAGGAGAGAGAGAGAAAATAAGAGAAACATTGATGTGAGAGAGACACATCGATTGGTTGCCTCCCATACATGCCCTGACGGGTAGGGGATCAAACCTGCAACCCGAGGTACGTGCCCTTGACTGGGAATCAAACCTGAAACCTTTCGGTGTAAGGGCTGACACTCTAAATTTGTTTTCTTTATTGATTTTTAGAGAGAGATAGAAACATTGATGAGAGAGAACATCGATTGGCCACCTCCTGCATGCCCCCCACTGGGGATTGGGCCCACAACCTGGGCATGTACCCTGACTGGGAATCGAACCGGTGACCTTTGGTGCATGGGTTGACACTCAATCACTGAGCCGCACTGGCCGGGCAGGGCTGATGCTCTAACTACTGAGCTATACTAGCCAGAGCGACCATTGTTATTTAGAAGAGCTCACTCAACTTTTTTTGTGTGTGTCTTTATTGATTTTAGAGAGAGCGGAAGGGAAAGGGAGCGAGAGATAGAAACATCAATGAGAGAATATCAATTGGCTGCCTCCTTCATGCCCCACACTGGGAATTAGGCCCACAGTTTGGGCATGTGCCCTGACTGGGAATTGAACTGGCAACATTTTGGTGCATGGGTCGATGGTCAGCCACTGAGCCACACTGGCTGGGCTCACTCAACTTCTTTTTTATCCTCACCGAGAACATTTTTGCACTTATCTTCAGACAGAGTGGGAGGGAGAGGGGGAAAGAGAGAGAGAGAGAAACATCAATGCGAGAGAGATACGTTGACTGGTTGCCACACACATGGCCCCAACAGGGGCCAGGGACAAACTGCAACCGAGGCTCGTGCCCCTAGCAGGAACCGAACCCAGGACTCTGGTCTGCAGGCCAACGCCCTAACCACTGAGCCAAACTGGCCAGGGCTCTCCCAACTTCTTTTTTTTTTTTTCTATCCTTACCCGAGGACATTTTTTGATATTTTGTTCAGATCGAGTGGGAGGAAGAGAGAGAGAGGGAGAAACATTGATGTGAAAGGAACACATCGAGTAGCTGCCACCTGCATGACCAACCAGGGCCGGGGACAAACAGCAACTGAAGTACGTGCCCTTAGCGGGAACTGAACCTGGGTCTCTGGACCGCAGGCCTATGCTCTAACCACTGAGCAAAACCGTCCAGGGCTCACTCAACTTCTTAAACCACTTTTCAGGGAGACTTGTGAGACATTTTTTTGCTAAGATCAAGTAATGATGGTCTTGAATTGATTTATGGGAAAAATTAAGGTCTGACTTAACTTGAAATAGTTCTCTAAATGGTGCTTACCACCATTTATCTATAAGCAAATGTTGGCCCACACAAAATGAAAAAATAACAAATAGTCCTGCCAGTGTGGCTCAGTGGTTGAGCGTCCACCCATGCACCAAGAGGTCGCTGGTTCAATTCTCAGTCAGGACATGCCTAGGTTGTGGGCCCAATCCCCAGTGGGGGGCATGCAGGAGGCGGCCAATTGATGTTCTCTCTCATTGATGTTTCTCTCTCTCTGCCTCTTCCTTCCTCTCTCTAAAATCAATAAAGGAAAAATATTTTTAAAAAGAAAGAAAAAATAAGGAATAAATTAATGGAAACTCTCAGACATAGTATTGCTTAGCTCTATAGTCCCCCCCCCCAACTTTTCTGGGGAAAGTTTTCAAACCCACAGAAAAGTTGAAAGAATAGTACCATAAGCACCAGTATACCTTTTTTTTTTTTCTTTAATAATTTTAGAGAGAGAGGAAGGGAGAGGGAGAGAGAGATAGAAACATCCATGAGGGAGAACTTCAACTGGCTGCCTCCTGCATGCCCCCCACTGGGGACTGGGCCCACAACCTGGACATGTGCCCTGACCAGGAATTGAACCGGTGACCTCTAGGTGCCTGGGTCGACACTCAACCACTGAGCCACAGCGGCTGGGCAGCACCAGTATACCTTTAACCTAGATTCAACAGTTGCAACCATTTGGCTTTTCTCTTTCTTCCTTGTTCCTCTCCCTCCTCCACCTTTCTAGATAGATAGATAGATAGATAGATAGATAGTTATACAAACATTCCCCCCCAACCACTTTATACTTAGTTGCAGATATAATATTTCATTCCCTAAACTCTTGAAAATAAGGGTATTCCCCTGAATAACTAATAAAATTATTATACCTAAAAACCAGTCATTTCATATCTATTATTGAGGTCATATTCAAATTTCCCCCATTTTTTTTTCCTGGTCTAGGGCCCAATAAAAGTTCATGTATTACATTATTTTTTTCTTTTAATCCTCACCCGAGGACATTTTTGCATTTATCTTTCAGATAAAGTGGGAGGGAGAGAGGGAAGAAGCAAGAGAGAGAAACATCAACGTGAGAGAGACATATTAAGTGGCTGCCACCCACATGACCCCAACCCGGGCTGGGGACAAACTGCAACCGAGGTACGTGCCCTTAGTGGGAACCAAACCCAGGACTCTCTGGTCCGCGGGCCAACACTCTAACTGCTGAGTCAAACCGGCCAGGGGCTATGTATTATATTTGAATATTAGGTTTCTTTCATTTCTTTTATTATTATTTTTTAAATTTTAAATGTTTTTATTAATTTTTTAAGAGAGAGTAAGGGAGAGAGATAGAAACATTGATGTGAGAGAAAAACACCACTTTACTGCCTCCTGCGTGGCCCCTAGGGATCAAACCCACAACCCAGGCATGTGCCCTGACCAAGAATCAAACCAGGACCTCTCAGTCCATGGGATGATGCTCAATCCACTGAACCACACTGGTCGGGTTCTTTAATTTCTTTTAAAATAGATTACATTCACTTTTTTTTTAATTGTTGAAACTATTACAGATGTCCCCTATTTTCCTCCTCTTTACCCATCTTCACCCAGCCTCCCCACCCCACCCCCACCCCCCACCCCCGGCCATCATCACACTGTTGTCTGTGTTCTTGGGCTTTGCACATATGTTCTCTAGCTAATCCCTTCACCTTCTTTCATCCAGTCCCCCTCTATCCTTCTCCCCTCTGACCTCTCAGTTTGTGCCGTGTATCCATGACTCTGGTTATACTTTGTCAGTTTATTTTGTTCATTAGATTTCACATATAAGTGAAATCATATGGTACTTGTCTTTTTCTCTCTGGCTTATTTTGTTTAGCATAATCTCCAGGTCCATCCATGCTGTCACAAAAGGTAAGAGTTCCTTCTTTTTATAGCCGGTAGTATTCTATTGTGTAAATATATGTACCACTTTTTTCTTTTTTAAAATAAAATTGACTTTCTGAAACAAGGTGTGTTACCTTGTAGAATTTCCCACTGTCTAATTGTTTTCTATAGTGGTTAACTTGTTCCTCTCCTGTTCTGTCCAATATAGTAGCTACTAGCCACATGTGGTTATTTTAATTCAAATTAGCCTTGGCTGATTTGGCTCTGCGGTTAGAGCGTTGGCCCATGGACCAATGAATCTCGGATTCAATTCTGGTCAAGGATACATACCTTGGTTGCGATTTGTCTCCAGCCCTGGTTGGGGTTATGCAGGAGGCAGCCACTCAATGTGTCCCTTTCATGTCGATGTTTTTCTCTCTCTCTTGCTCTCTCTCCCTCCCACTCTATCTGAACAAAAATGGAAAAATGTCCTCAGGTGAGGATAAAAAAAAAATCAAATTAAAATGAAATACAATTAAAGTTTCAGTAGGTTGATGGTTACTGTATTAGACAGTGCAGATACATAATATTTATATCATTTGCCAAAAGTCTGCTAGACAGTACTATAAGCCTACATTTCCTGTAAAATGGAAATAGATCTACAGGCTGTATTAGATTCAGGGTAAACACTTTTTTGCAAAGAATATTTAGTAGATGATATTATGTACTTTACATTACATCACCCTGGAGCCACATCAGGTCAGAATGTCTCACTATTAATTAGCTGAGTTTGATGGCTCAGTTAAGGTTGGTAACTGCCAGATCTTCTTAATATATGAAAATACACATTCCCTTTGTAGTTAGTAGCATCTGGAAATGAACATAAAAAAATCTCGAAATGTGGCCCTGGCTGGG